GCTCCTAGTGATTGGACAGATTATAGTGAACTTCGTCGTTATCGGCAAGTTTGGAAACAACTGGAAATAATTGACGGTCTTTTGCATCGACGCGTATCAACAAGTGGTCGGAAAGATGGTCTCGTTCTTGTAGTTCCTCGGAAAATGCGTGCGGATCTGTTGCGACTCTCTCATAATGATCCTAGTTCTGGGCACATGGGTATTAATCGCTGCGTCGAACGTTTGCAGCCGTGGTATTACTGGCCTGGAATGACCAGCGAGGTGCATCTGTGGGTTGCAGAGTGTGACGTGTGCAACCAAAGGAAATCGTCGTCAGCATCCCACCGTTCCCCCATGGAGAACATCCGAGTATCTCAACCAATGGAGTTGTGGGCAATGGACATCTTAGGACCCCTTCCAATAACAGCACAAGGGCACCAGTATGTTTTAGTGATGAGTGACCACTTCACTAAATGGGTCGAAGCGGTCCCAATGGCTGATCAGAAAGCAGAGACGGTAGCTCGTGCGTTTATTGACAACGTAGTGTCTCGACATGGCGTTCCTGTGAAACTCCTCACTGACCAAGGTAGAAACTTTGAGTCGGAGCTCATGAAAGAAGTATTCAAGCTGTTGGGCGTTCACAAGTTGCGGACATCGCCATATTATCCACAGACTGACGGCCAAGTGGAGCGGTTCAACCGTACACTGAAAGCAATAATCTCGTCTTACGTAAATGGTCATCACAACGACTGGGATTTACATTTACCCTTGGCTTTATTCGCATATCGAACAAGTGTCCATTCCTCGACACGCGTATTTCCATTTAAAGCAGTTTATGGGAGAGATGCTACTACGCCACTCGTGTTACTGGGCAGCACGGAGAACCCCAAGACCCGATTGATTGCCCACTACTGTGCTGAACTTGAGTTTACGCTGAAAGAGGTCCACGCGACGGTTGCTGAGGAAATCAAGAAAGCACAGACCCGACAAAATCAAAATTATGATGCACGTAACACTGCTCATCAGACAGAAATTCGGAGACCCGGAGACATTGTATGGTTACATAGCACTGTCATATCGAAAGGACGCAGTAGAAAGTTCCACAAACCGTGGATTGGTCCGTACGTCATACTCCGTTGTCAAGGACGTTTAAACTATGTGATTCGTCCAAAATCGGGAAAAGGAAGGAGCTCGTGTGTGCACCGCAATCGACTCAAGCTGGTACAGAATCAGACGGATGACATTAACGAGCAAAACATGCCATCTCCATTGTCAACCAAGAGCGAGAAAACCCAAGAGCAGAAGGAAGTTGAGGCAACGAACATGGTACCTCTAAGGAGATCTACAGTACCCGTCAGCGCCGACCACCTGATCGTTACCAGGACTTTAATTTAGATGAGCTTGAGATCGAGGACGCTCTCACTTAGGGGGAGGGTAATGTAGTATACGAAGGTGTCTAATTATTAATAAAGGTCGCGTGCAAGGGTCAAGTAAGGATATCGGATGACAATAACAAACTGGATTGCTAGACAATATACGGGACAAGAATATAGTGCATTGAGTCACAGTTAATAGTCTCCTTCTATTAACTGTGATTGAGTGTAGGGAACTAGAATAGGATTTAATAAAGTGATTTGTTTATACTGCTTGCGCGTCGTGATATATTACACTAGGAAATATTATTATAATTAGTTTTATGTACTATTTAAAGCACGCGTAGGAGTGTTTTATCTCAAATAAAACACGACGCGTAGCGGAGTGTTTTATATGTGATAAAACACGACTACAAGTGCTTTAAATAGCTACAAAAACGACTCATCTTATACGAGTTCATTGGCAAAGTAATTTTTAAAATAAACTTTGTCTAAACCGAGAAAATCAAAGCTAAAGTTTATGTAAATTAACGTGATTTTTTATCACATATAAAACCACGACACGCTTATGATTTTTCTTTGTGTTTTCTCCTGAATTATTAATGAGTTTTTGAAAGTTAATTAACAGTCCTAACTAAATAAACATTATTGTACATAATATATATATATATATATATATATATATATATATATATATGCAGTTTGAGCGCTCTGGCATGGTTTTGATGTCCCACAATCGTGAGGCATCAAAGGTAACTGTAAATAGCAGTTACTTTCATCCTGCTCATCAGCACTACACTGATGAGGCCCATGAGGCCGAAACGGTACCGTCTGTAGTTAGATATCGCTCTATGGCCTTTTAGGTCATATTGAGCGCTCTACAGGATGAGCCATGCCGCTTACGCATTGCGCACGCTCACTGCTTGCAGTTTGAGCGCTCTGGCATGGTTTTGATGTCCCACAATCGTGAGGCATCAAAGGTAACTGTAAATAGCAGTTATTTTCATCCTGCTCATCAGCACTACACTGATGAGGCCCATAAGGCCGAAACGGTACCGTCTGTAGTTAGATATCGCTCTATGGCCTTTAGGTCATATTGAGCGCTCTACAGGATGAGCCATGCTGCTTACGCATTGCGCACGCTCACTGTTTGCAGTTTGAGCACTCTGGCATGGTTTTGATGTCCCACAATCGTGAGGCATCAAAGGTAACTATAAATAAGAGTTACTTTCATCCTGCTCATCAGCACTACACTGATGAGGCCCATTAGGCCGAAACGGTACTGTCTGTAGTTATATATATATATATATGTATATATATATATATATATATATATATATATATATATATATATATATAAATATATATATATATATATATATATATATATATATATATATATATATATATATATATATATAAATCAATTTAAAAATCAGAGACTATGCAACTTCGACCATCAATTTATTAAAAAAACTAAAACATACTAAAAAAAGCTTAAAAGTTAAAAACGTTTCGGCAGTTCTGCCTTCATCAGTTTATATTACAATTTAACAATGTCTAGCTTTTATAGCATTGGCAGGATCAAAATTACCATATTATGTAGTAAACAAATTAATGAGGATCAATAGTGGGACCAAAATTACCATAATATGGCTTGCTAGTTATAATTATAATAATTATTACAACTTATAATGGATCCTATTTTTTGATCGAAGTTCAGATCTCTTATTGAGGCCATAAGGGCTAATTGTACACAGCTGTGCCATCCAATATGCTTCTCTGGTCAATAAAGGGTTATTGGCATTTTCGCCATTCACTAAGTCAACTTTTTCAGTGGCTACAAATTCCAAATCCTTAAATTCGTGTTTATTTTCATTAAAATGAACGGCCATCTCACAAACTTTCTTATCCGTAAGCATAGCTGACTTGTGGTTACGAAAACGAACTTTAAATTCAGTAGATGTGGATCGTTTCGCATTGCCATACCTAATATCAAAGCTTATATATATATATATATATATATATATATATATATATATATATATATATATATATATATATATATATATATATATATATATATATACGTCAGCGTGAGGTTTGTCAGCGTGAGGTTGTGAGGTAGCGTGTCCGTAAATTATATAAAATTTTCTACCTCATTTCCTTTGGAAACGATACTAATTCGGTATCAAATCAAGTATAAAAGTTCTTGTGACCCTGTTGGTATATATTTTGAGGATTTCGCTAGTGAATTTACGCATTTATTTGCAATTTTATTACCGTGGACGTGGTTGTCTGTCGTGTTGCAGTTGGTATAAAATCAAGTATAAAGCTCTTGTTAGTATCAAATCAAGTATAAAGCTCTTGTCAGTGACTCTGTTGGTATATATTTTTGAGGTATTCGCTATGGACCCTGTGAATTTACGCATTTATTTGGAATTTTATTACCGTGGACGTGGTCATTGTCTGTTGTGTTGCATTTACTGATTCGTCATTACTGCTGGCTAATTGGTCTTCACTGTTCATTGGATTTGTCTAACATTTTCTGCACTGTATAACGTACTTTGTTCCTATTATCGTATCAATGTTGGTGTTTTTGTGATAAAGAAAATTTCAATAATACGCGTTTTTATGATTTTGACCGTTGGAATTTTTTGAATTATTCGCATCTAGCGTCGTTCGTCATGGCAACAACGTTATAAATACATAATTACAAAGTCATTTATCTTTGGAATTACCTGTTTGAACTTTGACATTACCCTCAATCGTAATTTGAGATTAATATTATCATTGCTCGATTATCGCTTTCCAACATGTACAATATGTGCGGGGTTTACCCTTGAATATTATTTACATCGTTTTATAACATTTAAAATATGATCTTTCTCAAAACAGTCTATACAGTCCTTTTTGCTTGGTTGATTTTCCGTGTGGTTCGTCTCACAAATGAAGATCGTAAGACATTATTTTACTCGTCTACAAACATTCTAACTTCTCCTTGTTATTCTCAAGCCCGTCGTATGAGAAAAGATTCGACGTCACTATCTATTCTTCGAACTGTTCGAAATGCATCTGCCCTACTACAAAGATCGTCTTTACCACTAATGTTGGTCCTCTTGGCAAACGACGTGCAACCAAATCCAGGTCCTTCCAATCCCATTCCTGCTAAGCCGTGTAAAACTAATCCTAGCGATCTTAAAGTCCTTTACCTAAATGCCCGAAGTTTGAAGTCTTTCGTCCCTGCTGACAATGATACTTCAAATAAAGTTTGCAAAATAACCTTACTGCAGGGGTTGGTTCACGGTGGTGAATATGAAGTTGTCTGTATTTGTGAAACTTGGTTCAACAGTACGATCCTTGATACGGAACTGCTCCCAGGTTTCAATATTTTTCGTCGGGACAGGACAGGGAGAATTGGCGGTGGAGTTCTAATCGCGATTAAAGAAAACCTACATGCTACTCGGCGTTGTGACCTGGAAAGAGATGGCATTGAACTTGCTGTAGTTCAACTCAATAATGGGAACAATGAACCAGTAATTCTTTATGTGTATTACCGTCCTCCCAACTCCTCTCCTGATGCCGGTCTCAATCTTCTAAACAACTCCATAGCAAGTAACCCGGAGTCATGTTGCATAATCGTAGTTGGCGACTTTAATATTCCTTCTATCTCCTGGTCAGACAGCCCATCAACTCCTATTAACACTGGTGGATGCTCCAATGGTGAAAACCTTTGTGAACTTATCGGCGATAATTTTCTGTATCAGTTCGTTGATGGCCCAACCCACCGTGCTGGAAATAAGCTTGATTTGCTGTTTCGTAATCGTACCGAAACCCTGTCCGACGTACTAACTCTCTCCTGTGACGAACACAACTTTCCGTCTGATCACTATACTATTGAATTCCTTATTCGCACAAAGTTCAGAAAAGCAAAACCTGTGCGGCGAACAGTCTATGATTGCAACCGAGCTAACTTTCCCGAACTTTGTAAAGCCTTGTCTCAAACAGATCTTCGTGTATCTCTTTCCGACAACATTGATGATTGTTGTAAACATTGGAAGAACTTATTTTTATCAGTTGTGTCAAGTTATGTTCCGACCAAAGTTGTTAAGAATACCAACTCTCCTCCCTGGATCGATGGAGAAGTTCGCCATCTAATCCGAAAAAAGTACACCGCCTTACGTAAATATCGTTTGAAGAAAACGCCTGAACGTAAAGTTAAACTCCGGACATTGTGTCAGCAAGTCAAGAATGTTATTCGAAAGAAACATAAAAAGTATTTGGACAAAATTGAAATTTCATTTAAAGAAAATCCGAAATTGTTTTGGAATTACCATAAAGCGGCACTCCACCACCGTTCAGCATTGAATCCTGTCATATTACACAACGATGAGACAGCGACGACCCCAAAACAAAAAGCAGAACTTTTTAATTCATACTTTTGCTCCGTTTTTCGACCACTTAAAGCTTTACCTATCACTGATGATTCACCTGTCTTACTGTTGCCTGTGGAACAATTGTCTGATATGACTGTCTCGGAAGAAGAAGTTGCCCATCATCTTGCACATTTGGATCCAACTAAGGCAACAGGCCCCGATGGTATTCCTGCTCGGGTATTGAGGGAATGCAGTTTTGCCATTGCCCCAAGTCTTTTCTCACTCTTTAATCATTCATTACATACTGGTACTGTTCCATCTGAATGGAAATCAGCTGATGTTTCACCAATTCATAAGAAAGATAAGAAAGAACTAGCTATCAACTACCGTCCAATTTCACTGCTATCTATCATCAGCAAAGTCTTGGAGCGATGCGTTTGTAATCGTTTCTACGAAAATATCCGAGATTCGATTAACGAAGCTCAGCATGGATTTCTTCATGGGCGTTCTTGTACTACACAGCTTCTTTCAACGTTACATCGTATTGGACAATTGCTTGACAAAAATACCAAGACGGACATTCTATTTCTTGACTTCGCTAAAGCCTTCGACTCAGTGGATCATGTTATTCTCCTAAGAAAGCTGAAAGATTACGGCATCTCAGGAAACCTTTACAGATGGTTCTCTGACTACCTGCATAACCGTACCCAGCGAGTTGTTGTAGAGGGTGCTGCTTCGTCGCGGTCCCCTGTCACTTCTGGCGTTCCACAGGGAAGCATCTTGGGTCCAATGCTTTTCTTACTCTTCATCAACGATCTTCCTGATGTCATTCCTGAATCTACATCAACAGGACTGTATGCTGATGATACCAAATTATATAGAGAAATCTCAACTCCAGAGGATTGTTCACAGTTACAAGAAGCTTTGTCGTGTGCGGATGTTTGGAGTAAGGATAACAACATCAACTTTAATCCCTCAAAATGTAAAATATTGACATTCTCCCGCCGTAAAACTCCTTTTCTTTTCGACTATTATCTGGGATTATCTGAATTGAAGCGTGTGAATGACGAAGTTGATCTGGGAATCACAGTGACCAGTAACCTTTCATGGACAACCTATATCAACAAAGTAAAAGTCAAGGCGAACAGGTTGCTGGGTTTGCTTAGAAGAACATGCCCCTTGTTAACAGACCGCAGTATCCGGCGCACTCTGTATCTTTCGCTCGTCAAGTCGCAATTATGCTATGCCACAGAGGTTTGGTCTCCCTCCCAAAATAATAACAAATTATATCTGGAGCAAGTCCAAAGGCGTGCAACAAGATGGATCCTTCAATCGAAGAAAGGTGACATGACCTACAAGGACAGATTTTGTTGGCTCTGAATCTTTTACCACTGGTGTTTGACAGGGAAATTAAGGATCTGACATTTATGTTTAAAACTTTGCATGGTTTTTATGATTTGGCTGTTTTCAATTTTGTGTCATTTGTTAATCATAGTCGTACCCGTAATTGTAATAATCCTTCTCTAGTGCTTAAAGTTCCGTCATGTAAAAGTAGCACTTTTCAGACATCGTTCTTTAACCGTATTGTTCCACTCTGGAATCATACTTGCAAAATTGCTTCTCCTAGAGATCTTCGCAGTTTGGCAACGTTTAAATTCTTCTTTTCAAGAACAAACTTCAATTTATTAAGTAGTAGTTTTGATGTGGACATGTGCTGTACGTGGTCTTTATATCGTAGCTGTTCATGCCATAGAAATAGTTAATTCTGATGTAAACATATACCAGCTCCTCGTGTCAGGGTTTGTTTTATCCTGATTCAGTTTTGTAATTTTTAACATCATTATACAAATCTGTATTATGTATGATAACTTAAATGTGGTGCAATATCCTCCTAATTTGATTTAATTAATCAGCTGGTATATGTTTACCAATTTATAATTTTTTTTGTAAATAATGATATTAGATGTAAACAAAATTCAAGAGGGAGAGTGCCTCGCATGGGTCTTGAGTCCCGTTCGCACTCTTGCCGTTTGAACATCGTTCAATAAAGCTGTTAAAACATATTTAAAGGAGTGAATATAAATCCTTTTACTCATTATACATACTCATAGGAAGACTAACGCCTGTATTCGATCTGAGCTTTCCTCGAGGGTCAATGCTGTTTTTGAATAGCTTGAGGGTTAGTGCCGTACTATGTGACTACTGACCGTCCAGCTATTCAAAAACAGCATTGACACTCAAGGGAAGCTGAGATTGAACCTCCACTCTTTGAGTGTGAGTGTGAGTGAGCTTTTAGAATACAGGTGTAAGTATAAATCATAACTACTTTGGGACATACCTTAACATAATTGGTGACAATTTTCCCAACTGTCTCATTTCAAACTTTCAGTCCCAAAAGAAAACATTTTGAGCGATGAATTTGAGCTTACAGCGCAATTGAGATGTAGTGCATGTGTACTATACTAAGTATAGTCAATGTACATGTTGCATCTAGCTTCAATTTAAAAATGATTGAACATACCTTGTTTGCATGGAACTCCAGGAGACTCCTCACGTCAGTCTCTTTGGGGGTCATCTACCAGAATCCCCAATCCCAGTCTCCGCTAGACTGGATTTTCATTTCAGCGATTTTTGAATATTCGATTAGTTTTTCTGCTGCAATTAAATAGTGGGAGTTTAATGGGTTATATAACGTAACGTTATTGAAACTACTGGCGTAATACTACATGTCAAAATTTTTAATGAAACTATATACTTGTCAAAATTTTACAGTTACCTTAACAGCCTCATGATCTGAATAATACACACTTACAACGTTTGCTTCCATTTTATTGCTTATTGACTGTTTTACGTAAACATGATCGAGAAGATTTCCGGATGAAACAAATGTTGGTTTACTTACCAGTTGCACATTGAGTACTTTCAATGAAGAAATGTTCTTTTCGTTAAAGTAATCAATATTAAAATATCCAAATATAACGTCAATATCCTAGCTAGTTATTATGTAATGTAAGCAAGCTATGAATTGCTGAATGTCACCTCCGTGCTTACGATAAAGCAGTAGACAGGATAAGGTATTCCCACCGGAGTTACTAAGTAAAAATCGTAAACCATTTATTGAAGTGAAATATTCTGTATCACATAGTGTAATAGTGTCTTTGTAGCAAACAGCTAGACTTAAGAATTTGTCAGAATTATGATCTTGTCTGTGTATAGAAAAATCATTAAGGATTGAGTTAATATCATCATTTGGTACACTGGTTAAAAGTTGAGTTTCTGTAAGGGCAAACACATCACATTTGGACAAGATTGGGTCATCTCTTAAGTCAAGACTGTGTTTTCTAAATGATCTAATATTTAAAAGACAAATTGAGACAGTTTCTGTGCTACATAAATCTGTTTTAATATGCGGGTGGAAACTCGAAGTTTCACGCAATCTCTCGTATTCTTTCTGGACTTTAGGATTAGCTCGAATATGTTTACTTTCAAGTGTTCCTAAAATATGCAGGCCATTTAAAGACGTTGCTCGACTAAGTGCTACATATACCTGACCATAGTTAAAATACCTTTGCTTTTTTAAATCAAAACTGACGACAATGTTATCTAGAGTTAATCCTTGTACTTTATGAACAGTACATGCCCATGCGAGAGTTACAGGAAATTGTAATCTTTGCATTTCAAAAGATGATGGTTTTCCTGGTCTGACTTTAATTCTCACCAATACAGGTTTGATAGGAACAAGATTGTTTTCTCTTGCAAAACTACTGGACGAATTTCTTATAGCAGATACTCCAGCATTACTGTCATCAAATTTAACAAAAATTGTGGAGGGTTTATTACTAACATTGTCAACAGAAACTTTTATTACTGTACCTAACTGGCCATTAATTAGTCGATCGCTAATATCCACATTAGTTGTGAGCATAACTCTCGCATTTTCTTTGATTAGGATTTTAGTGTCAAGCCCTCCAGTTTCGGATCTTCCTTTAGACAACACTCTTTCGATATCCTGTTTTCGAACATGAGGTGGGAATTGATCTAAAGCTTTTAAAACGTACTGTGGTGATTGAATTTGTTGTAGGCGGTCAATATTGTACTCATCTACTGGTGCATTTTCTGCAAAGATGTGTAATGCATCCGATGGGTAATTTTCATCACCTGCAGTTATTGTTCTGGATTGAATACACCTGATGTCATCGTCTGTATGTGAAGCGGTGCGCAATCTATTTAATAGTTGAGTGAAGGCGAGGTCATCTTTTTGTCTCATGATCTGTGTTAAACTCCTGTATTAATTCAAGTCTTATCTACTGCTCTGTAACTTGGGGAAACTGCTCAAAAACACTTTTACTTCGCATTCTTCGACTGCAAAAGCGTGCAGCACGTATTATTCTAGACGCTGACTTTTCTACTCCTTCTGTTCTTCTTTTTTCCCAGATTCTAATAATCCCAATTTTTGATCTTGTTAAATTTAGGAAGCTTCTCTAACTAATTAACATTCTCACAAATCCCAGTGCTCCATCTTCATTTAAGCAAATGTTTAAATTCTTATCTTCTATTCGACAACGGGCTCTGACTAGCGTTTGCGCATATGACCTTCAACCCCCCTTCCCGCGTACTGACTCTGGTAAACGAACATTTCTGTACAGTGCTTCCATTCTTTTTAATTGCTTAGATAGCGATTGTAAGCAACTTGCTGCTTCGCCATCTTGCTCTTCATATACTAACGCCAAACAAAAATTCGTAAAATCTTTCTTAACAAGCTTACCCTTACTAACCATATCGAAGAACTATTTTGTATAAATTGTAAATATTTACTAAATTGTAATTGTATTCATTACTAATTATTCTTTTCTCAAATGTAAATAGTCGTAATCCTTAAAACTTTTTATGCCTGTAAATATCAAATAGTGCGAGGGCCGTATGTTAGATAACTTTTACGGTTAATACGTTTTCCCTCGTGAAATAAAGTTTCTATTCTATTCTATTGTTAATTCTGCCAGACATGCCAGGGATGGTGTAGATTGAATGTATCATTCTTACAATTTGAAAATGTTGTTGCGCTTCGAATTGGTGGTAGCTGAAAGAAATCTCCGAAAACAAGTACACTGATACCTGCAAAAAGTTCACTATTAGGTGTAACAAATATTTCTTTCAATCTCTGGTGAATATGCAGGAGACCCATGTTTGAGACCATTGATATTTCATCAATTATGATTAGTTTTAATTCAGCCAAAGACAATCTCATTTGTGTTCTTCTCTGGTCAGACATTGCAGGTACATTATTCCCACATTCTCTTGGAATTGCTAGAGCAGTATTTATGGTTGTTCCGTTGATATTTATGGCAGCTACACCAGTTGGAGCCATTAGCAATACAGAAGGTAATTCAGGATTCATTGGAGCACGTCTAAATGTTTTTGTAACAGTATGATTATAGCTTTAATTAAGTGTGATTTCCCTGCACCTCCACCTCCAGTAACAAAAACATTTATTGGATCTACTTTAGATGGTTTAAGGGTGTTTAGGTTGGCCATCTTATTTCTACACCAGGAAAGAACTACGTCATATGCATAACGTTGTTTGTTGATTAATGATCTTACAGTTTTTCGTAGATCGTCGTCACTGATTTCTAGCTAAGGGTTGATTATAAGAACTTATTCCAGAAGATGGTTGAACTGATTCAGGATTTGATGCAAGATGTTGTGGGAACGATTCATTAAAAGACTCAGTTTCATCAGAATCGTCAGGTAAACTTTGTTGCAAGTCTTCATTTTCCTGGTCATTTATTGGATCATAGGAGTGAGTTGGTATGCCATTAAAGTTTCGTAAACTTTCTAGTGCTTCATTAATAGCATCACCATCTGGCTCAAATATTTCTTTGTTGCATAGTACTACCTCTTGCACATCTGGCACATAAAACTTAGATATGTATGTCTGGTTTTCGCCAACGAGTTCCTGCTCGTTACGCCACGGAAAGTACAACATGAGAAGGTGGTGAAAATATTTTTCAGGTTCTTTTCTTTTGTTTGGAGTGTGATATCAAATGACAGCTTTAATTTTCTGCACTTCATAATTTCTTTGCTGTTTACAAGTTTTATTCGATCGGGAAGTCCAGTGTTATGATTTTCGATATTTTGAGATTCAATGAAGTCATCGCTTAAAACTTCAGGTTGAGAATCGGATACTTCGTTAAAATCACTTTTGTAATCTTTGAAATAGTGAGCAGCAAATAAAGCTAAACACATATCATTAACGACAGGAATTTTTTTCGGTCTGTCACCGTAACGGATGATAATGTTAGACTTAAAAATGTCTGTACTATCATCATCTAACTCATCAAGTTCTTGTTGTTTCTTCACAAATCTAACGCAATTTTCAGCAAAATCCGTGCTAACAAAGAGGGTTTTCGGGAATATTTTTCTTAACCAGAGTTCAGGCATACATCTGTAAACGCATTCTTGAGCGATGACTTCACGAGTCGAGAGAAAAGCTGCACCTATTTTTCTTAGGCCATCTCTTACATTTAAGTTGGCTTCTTTAGCCTCTTTTGCTGCATTTATGATGGCTTTAGAACATTCAGTTTCATCCTTTGTAAAATAAGAACAAACGTATGTAATACACTTATAATGATTAAACACTGGTTGCAAGTCAACATTTGCAGCAAATCCTTTTAACCCAGCAATAAAGTAGTTGTTGGTAAAACAACTGTCTATTGGTCGTTTCAGGTGCAATTCATGGTCAGAATCTCATGGAGATATTGATAAAGCCCATTGATAGTCTTGTTCTGTAATATCTATTTAATTTAGAATGTTAATTGGAGTTGCATGTGAGTCATAAGTAGGTTTGCTTGGGTTTAGCACATCATCAATTCTTTGTTTAACTTTAGACAAATTTTCCTTTCGTCTGGTTAGAATATTTGATTTAATCTCATCATCGATATCGTCAGCCAAAGGTTCAGCAACAATTGTTCTGTCAGTAAAAAACTGTCCAAAGTTAAATCTACATGTAACATTCGTATACTTTCTACAGGTTTTGCTGTGATTATGTGTCTGGTACGTTTTTACCAAGTCATAAAGTTCAGGATCTGTTTCTTTGTCTGGGAGGTATGCTTGTACATGTTGGTCAATGTAATATATGTATGCATCTTTTGTATCGTTCGTTAATTCTGGACAATCAGATGTCCATAGTAAGGCATGCAAATGTGGCGAACCTCTCATTTGAAATTCGATACGGAGTGCATAATATATGCTATCTTACCAATTGGGTTTGCATTTGTGAGCAAAACATCCCTGAAAAATGTTTCGACTCGATACTGGAAATGTTTAGCTACAATAACTGGATTTAAATTTAACATTGAGCATCGCTCATGATACGACAGGGCCTCTACTTCTTCGGTTGTTATGTTGTTGCCTTTTGTTCTTGCAATTATCTGAAATAGCTCAGGCCATCTTAAGTCTGCACATGAAAGCGTCATAAACCATGTTGGTATTCCCAGCTGTTTAATCATTGCTACCACTTCATACATGAATTTTTGCCAGTAAGGAGGTGAGCCAGGAATTTGTCATAAAAACAAATATGCTTGATCTTGCGAAAGAAGATTTTGAAAAGCTTGACTGTTTGACTTTACCTGCGATGCTGTGACTGACTGGCCATGTACTTTTTTAAGAGCTATATTAATACTATCAGAAATCCTTTTCTGTTCCATAATGAATTGTGCAAAGAATATATACTCTGGATTGGTTGCAAATTTTCCACTATAATGCAAGATGCGAGCATTAAAATATTTTATTGGAGATAATTTTATGTCTCGTTCACAGGTATAACCAAATCGTCCCTTTGGAAAGAGTACTGGAAATGAGAGTTCCTCACAAAGCTTATCAGTCATCAATGATACTGGATGTTTACCTTCACCTGGTGCAATGTTGAAAACTTCTCTACCTGTTGAATTACAATTTGTATTGTCCAGGTTAACAGGATAATTTGGCAAGATGGACTGAAGACAGGTTTCGCTTGCTGCTGAACGGTGTTCATTTAATGGATCATCTTGTTCTTCGACATCTTCATTACACAGTTCTCTATTTACATTACTTTGCAATTGCAATGGCTCATCTATATTTTCTTGATCAGTATCAGGGCAGTTCAAATTAGTTAAGTCTGAGCTAATATTGTCACATTGAATTTCAATGTTTCTATATAAAGGGTTGTTTGCTATAAGCCAGTTTAATGTACTAATTACAAACTGAGGGCGAACTGCTTGGAAGTAAACACGACCTCTAAATTGAAGTTTCCTTTTTATTTTAAGTAACATTATCCCAGATCTGTCAGGTGGTCTGGCAAGAACATTGCACGTTTGACTACATTCAACTGGTACATTACATATTGCACCTTTAATTTTTCTTTGTTGTCCTTTTGGCATTACTACAATTTTTTCAAAGACTATTCTTTGTGCAATAAGAATTTGTTCAAGTTTTTCTAATGCAGCAAGTTCAGTAGGGGTTTCATCAACAAATAAATTGTTTATCACAGCTTGACAAGGCTGTTGACCTTTAAGTAATTTAGCATGGCAAGTTTTGCAGATGTACTCTTTGCTATCAGAACAACATTGACACATAAAACAATCCTGGCGAGAATATTTATTTTTCTGTAGGATTACTACTAACTTTTTATATAATTTTCGGTTACAGACACAGCATATGTAAAATGGGCCAGCTTTAATTTGTTGTTTAAATTTTTCAATGTATGTGTCAATATCATGAGTTAGAGGTTTCTTTTCCATCCGTTTTTCTTTCTCTCTATTCAGCAAATTATTTTTTTGTTTTGAATCCAACGACATTCGATTTGACATGATTTTGCTTGAGTTGATAGCAATGAACTCCTTTTTGTTTGATATATCCATTGTTTGATATTTGGCTCTCTTCTTCTCTAATAGTTTCTGTTTTTGTTCTTCTCCCATTGTTTCTTTATAATTCATATTTTTAGCAAGCAATTCCTTTTTCTTTGATTGATCCATTGTTTCATACTTTACTCTTTTATTCTCCAATACTTTTTGCTTTTGTTCTTTACTCATTGTTTCTTTATAATTCATATTTTTAGCCAGCAGTTCCTTTCTCTTTGGTTGATCGATTGTTTCATACATTAATCTTTTATTCTCCTGTGCTTTTTGCTTTTGTTCTGTACTCATTGTTTGTTTATAACTCTTCTTTTTAGTAAGCAGTCTTTGTCTTTTCTCCTTCGCCATTGTTTTGTATTTCATCTGCTTTGTTTCTAGCTTTTGTTTCTTTAGAGCTGGTTCAATGAAGTCATTTATATAGTTTTGTCTGTGTTTTTTCATAATTATTTTTCTTTCACAGTTAGTTAATTCAGAAGAACAAGCCAAAAATTGAATTTCAAAATTTACAATTTCATCCTTGATTTTTGTGTTTGCTAGGTTAAAGATAGTATTAACTAAAGTGTGCTTGTCTTTTATGTTTTTAATGTAATGTGCAGTACATGTAGGTGAACTATCATCATCATCATATGCTAATATTGAGTATGACATGTTCTTAATCGATGTCTTTTGAAAAATGCAAGAAATACAATAATCTCCAATCCACATTAAAAACCCTGTGTTTTCATTAGTATGACAAATAAGGCTTTCAATGTATGGTTTGCTTTTTGCATTGTCATTAACTACACCTTGAAAGTTAGCGTGCAATTTTACATGTATTTCAGTTCCACATATTCTAACTTTTTAAGGTATATCACTAGATGCATTTATTCCAGTGTTGTTGTACAAATTAGTGCCAAAGTAAACAACTGCAGATACTGTACTTGAATTCCAGTAATTACATGCTTTAATAACAGAATAACAAATTGAGTATAATGAAATTGCACAACATTGTCTACACAACCGAGAAACGTCAGCACTTTTCGATTCTTCTGAGCCATTACCTGACAGGTCAGAATTTCTAATACTGTTGTTTAAGTTCTGACCACCATTGGCTTGTACTTCTTCAATATTTATTCCTCTTAGTTGAAATTGACTGTTTTCACTGTATAAAGACTGGAAATACAGAATTACATTGTTGATATTTGGTGCTTCTAACAGCACACATGTTCCTTGTGGATGACTTCTGCCATAAATATCTTTTGAATGAGAGTCAAAAATTTTATACTTGCCATCATTAGTGAAAAATATGCAAACAGCATTGGAGTCAATTGTTAAAATGAATGCACAATAGTGTTCTGCCAGGAGCATTTCAAATGATCTGTCAAATGGAACACAGTATTGATACCCTTCAATCAAATAGTCTCCTATTACGTTACCGCTATAGCTCTCACTGTACTCTAAAACAAAATCTGTGTCAAATACTGTAAGTTGTGAAGGCAATTCTGTAAACAATAAAAATGATTGTTGTGCTAAACATGACAAGTTTGAATACAGTTCATTACCAATATTCATTATATAAACCAGTTCTTGTGGTGAGCATATGTTCTGTTTTTTGTTGTATATAAGGGCACATAAACACATTGCTAAACACTGCTGTCCTGCTGTTTCTCCAAATATAACCTGATTACCTTGGCTATATGGTGCACTGATTGTCTTGCTGGGATCAATATAGAATACAGGCCCAGGATTTGTCTCAATATCTGTACATAATGCTGACTGATAGACATTCTTTAAGTGATTGCCATTTTTGTACACTTGTTGTGCATATAAATCATGAGTCAAACAAGAATTCCTTCACAAATATAAAGTTTTAAATCTTTTGCTGAATGTTTCATCTGGCATCTCTTTTCAACCTTTTTCGGGCAGTAAACATCAGGGATACACTTCATCCTAGTGCTAGTATCTTGACAATGCATAATATTTTTTACTATATAATGAAGATGAGAGGATGTGGGTACAGACCTTTTGATGTTATGTCTCAGACTTTTTCTCAACAATCGACTTTTTCAATACTGCCTAGTTAACCATTTTACCTGTATTCTACTGGGTTCACGGTCACGGTGACGTAAATGGCAACCAGTGGTAGTAATGTCAGTTTTGTGTGCAGATGTTATAAAATAATGCATGCCGTGATCGCACTGGGAGTTTCTTTGTACGCATAGCCTTGAGCTTCGAAGGACCTGCTGTTATTTTATTCTGGTTATTTAACTTGGGGATGCAGTTGTTAGATATACTTATACCTGACATATGTTGATCTGTGGACATATTTTTGTTTTCCATATCATCTTTGTTCAAAATTATTGACAAATTCTTGGTTGGAATCAAATTCTTGGTTGGAATCTGTTCAGACGATATTTATCTCACATTGTCTGTGCTCTCTGTAGCCTTTCTGCTGGCGGCCATGTTGACCATGTGCTCAGTACAGCAACTTGATTGTGAGTTTACGTTTGTTTTTTGTAAATTTGTCAGTGTATTACTCGTCATTTCAGTAGTATTTTTGTCACGTTTTTGGCAGCTTTTTGTGCAACATTTTTGGTAACTTTTTGTGTATTTTTGGCAATTGTTTATGCAAGTTTTTACGACCCGAAGGTATTTTCGGATTCGTGGATAATCGACCCGGTTCGAAATCGCTCAGCATCTTTTAGTGTAGGTCTACCACGAATAGGTGCAGAGTCATGCGAGGTGAGCGTATTTGAAATTAAATCACATTCACTTACCGTAAACATCGTCGAAAAGAATAAAAAAATCGCTTTCTTCCCAAAATATAAAACAGCAAACACTCTGAGTCTGTGCTAAGAAGTTGCGATAATGCGATTTGCATTTGCAAACGTTGCTGTTTCCATGTAAATTTTGGCGAAATTTCCGAATTTTCCTCAAAACGCAGGGTATTTATGGATAATTTGGGTAAAAATTGGCAGGAGCCTTATGGATAATTTGGGTAAAAATTAGGTATAGCTCATTAATATTCTATTTTGTGGCTATCAATCTTCGATCCACTATCGGAGAAAAATGCGAGCCGAAACCTATACTCGTCCGGTGCCCCAGCGAGTAATAAAACATTATTATTGATTTGTCTGGAGTTCGCCTTTCCTTCTGTATACCTATCTATATCTAAATCTACATCTATATCTATATCTATATATATATCTATCTATATATATATATATATATATATATATATATATATATATATATATATATATATATATATATATATATATATATATATATATATATATATATATATATATATATATATATATATACAGGGTGTATAAAAAAAAAACTGAACAGATTTGAAATTGCTCTCAATTTCGCAAAACTACTATTTGTATCTGTTTTTTTATATATATAGCTTCTTTGGGTACTTATAATGTAAAATAATGAAAAAAGTTTCCCGAACTCAAATTTTGTGAACCAGGGGGGTGTGTCTTTTCCAACAAAATTAAAATGGCTCGCGCACAAAATTTAAAAGCTGTAATAATATTTTGAGATGATAGATTGAAAATTTGTCGGGTTTTTAATTACTGTACAAAATTTCAGACAATTTGGTTTAGTTTAAGCCCTTTAACTATTCATTTTGTTCTAAAAAGTCAGCCTTTCGCATGCTTAATTAATGCCTTTACCTAATTTGCATATTGTTGACATATGCAAATTAGGCAAATGTATTAATTAAGCATGCAAATAGCTGATTTTTCGGGAAAATTGTAACTTTGCGTGAATAGTTAAGGGGCTTAAACTAAACCAAATTGTCTGAAATTTTGTACAGTAGTTAAAATCCCGGCAAATTTTCCATCTGTTAACTCAAAATATGATTGCAGCTTTTAAATTTTGTGCGCGAGCCATTTTTAGTTTGTTGGAAAAGACACACCCCCCTGGTTCACAAAATTTGAGTTCGAGAAATTTTTTTCATTATTTTACATTATAAGTACCCAAAGAAGCTATATATATAAAAAACCAGATACAAATAGCTGTTTTGCGAAATTGAGAGCAATTTTAAATCTGTTCAGTTTTTTTTTATACACCCTGTATATATGTAAATATACAAGTAGGTTTGTGTATACGAAACGCAAAGAGTGCTCAATATCATAAAGTACGCAGAGTAAATGTAGAATTTCGCTTACCTCAAAATTCCGCAACAGTCTGTTTCATCAGTAAAGAATCATCAGGCGGTATGACGTTTCGAAAAGGGACTAGCTAACAGTCGTGGGTCGTGGGTACAATATCGTGGGTCGTGAATAAAATGTCGTGGGTAAAAAGTCGTGGGTAAAAAGTCGTGGGTCGTGGGTAAAAAGTCGTGGAAAAAAGTTGTGGGTAAAAAGTCGTGGGTCGTGGATAACAAGTCGTGGATAAAAAGTCGTGGGTAAAAAGTCGTGGGTCCCGAATAAAAAGTCGTGGGTCCCGATAAAAAAGTCGTGGGTCCCGAATAAGAAGGGGACTAGCTAACAGTCGTGGGTCGTGGGTAGAATGTCGTGGGTAGAATGTCGTGGGTAAAAAGGCGTGGGTCGTGGGTAAAAAGGCGTGGGTCGTGGGTAAAAAGGCGTGGGTCGTGGGTAAAAAGGCGTGGGTCGTGGGTAAAAAGTCGTGGGTAAAAAGTTGTGGGTCCCGAATAAGAAGTCGTGGGTCCTGAGAAAGTCGTGGGTTGCAAGCAAAATATTGCCATAAATTTACCTTTCTCCCTTTGGAATGCGTGTTTTTTTTCTTCTGAGTTTTTCCCAAACTATGCCCAAATATACATAGTCTTAAGCCTGGTTCACATAAAATCGTTAAGCAGTCGCAGACAGTCGCAGACAGTCGTAGACATGTGCCGAATTTTTATATGAACACAAATGCAGATTCGCGCAGACTGTCTGAGACCGGATCGGCGACGGATCGGGAAAGTTGAACTTGGTTCAACTTTCCCGATCCGTCGCAGATCGTTCATATAAAAATTCGGCACATGTCTGCGACTGTCTGCGACTGCTTAACGATTTTATGTGAACCAGGCTTTAGAGCGCGTTAAGACCGGGTTTTTGATATCGGCAAATCGGTTTATATAAATATTATAACCAAGTGTGGATGAAACAGTTCAACTTCACGCCCCATATAGCTCAAATATTTGGACGTTATAATTTTATGCACAGATAACTATTGTAATTCTTCAATAAGAAATAGTGCTGCCATAAATAGCTAAATTGTGACATTCAGGGCTTCACTAATTTGTTGATCGATGTTCTTAAAGTAATATTAAAGCGAGAAGTTTTCACTTGGACGTCACGGTGTTAATTGAATGCAATCTCTGTTAATTTACTATGGAAAAATAAAAAAGCATTTGAGAGATTTCACTTAAATAACATATTTAGTATCTAACCATGTTGCAGTAGTGAATCTAGTGTCAAATTTATTATGTGCTTTGGATTTTCTAATGTCAAACATAAGTTACAAATATACAGTCACATACAGTATTTGTAACATTCATGCTTTGACTTATCTTTCAGTAGGCTTTTGTCGGATTATTTTACCGTATGTTTGATAACAGAGAGGTACACTTCTACATATTTCTTGAGCATCAAGTTTCAGCGAAGTCAATGGCAAGTTAGAATTTGGAAATTTCATGGCGCTCATTTAATAACAGTCCGAGCATTGTTTACATGCAAGGTTTGTTCCGTTTGTAGTTTGCGATATTTCAGAAACCAAAAGATCTCCCTATTTCCTTACAATTCCACATCTCAGTATTAAATAAATCGTTTAGGATAGACATCGGAGATATATTTTATTGTAATGTTTACGACGATGTCGGTAATATCAACAACAAAATTACTGATATGGATATCGATGCATCACTATTTTACAGACCGGCGATCTTCTTTGTATAGTATATACATGAAGACCATATATAAGTCAAATGTCATATTATTTAATTAAAGGACAATGGCAATAGATTTTTTTATTCTTGATATCTATTAAACATACCTACGGAATACTTAATTACGTATTTTCACTTGTCTATCGCGTTTAGTTGTTCAGAAATATCATAAAACTTTCGATAGTCGTCCGCCATCTTGAAAAAAACCTGGTATGCTAATTTATGTGAGAATAAATTTGTGACGTCAAGAGCAGGGGAAACAAATATTGTCAATATAAAATAGTATGCGTGCGAACACATTCTACGAAGATTTTGACCAAAAAGTGCGGATAAACTCCAATTTTTTTGCATAACTGCGTAAAAATTTAGCGCTACTAGTTACTGTGTGTTTCAGCTGTGTTTTTAAAATAAACGCGTTGATTTCGGCGGTAAAAGCGCTTTGATTATAAATGATTACCATAGCCTGATCATAGTCTGGTACTATGTCAATATGACATTATGCTCGCCTACTTTGTAGACTTTTATATTTACTGTTCTCGGTGATCACGGCTATGACCACATCAACAGGAACAATATCGCATAAATAAACACTATTAATGACTGAGAATATGTTTTGATTCATTGCAATTCGCGTGTAAAAATCGTTTTGATGTTTTTGTGATATAAA